GCTACATCTCTGTGTTCTTGGCCGTGGTACCCGACCTTAGTTTCCTGCTATGTAAAATGAGACAATACTGCTTACCTCGGAGTGGCTGGAGGAGCAGCCACACAGTGCTTAGAACAGCGCTGAGGCTCAGGAAGCTCGAGGAGTTGAGCAATTCTCAGTCACTGCGACTGTAATCCTCTACAAAGACAGAAAGGGGCCTTTCTGTATTTAAGCACTTGCTCCTCTACCACCGGTCTCCAGATAAAAACCCTCTGTTCTCATTCTACGAAATCACTTCTTTGTGCGTCTCTACGACTCTTCATTCTCCCCAATTACTCTCTTTTGAAGACACTCATTCTTAATGGTTAATTATTCCTATTTTTCCGTAGCCAAGGCCTCTCACCACTTGTATTCCTCCTCTTCCCCCCCAACCCCCGAGGTTTCAGTGTTCTGGAGCCCACACAGTCTGCTCTGTGCTCCCGGACTCTGGCTGGGAGCCCACCTGAACAAAGAACCACTCAGTACCCTCTGTCCCACCCCTGCGCTCCCAGAACCCCAGCATCTCACTCAGGCACGAAGAAGCTTTTAGGTAGGTCAGAGGGGGCTATTCATTTTATACAGGCCCAACTTTGTCCCCATTCCCAGCCACTCAGTGAGACCCAAGCACTTCTCTGAGCAATGGTCAGACACTGGGCATTGACAGCCTGCAGAAGGAATCAAGCAGTCATTAAGAAGGCTGCCCAGGATTCTTGCACTTATCTTTTGCTATATTATAAACTACCCAGGGCTGGTCGGTGGTGGCGCATGCCTTTAATTCCAGCACGTGTGAGACAGAGGCAGGCAGATCTCCGAATTCAAGGCCAGTCTGGTCTACAGAGCTAGTTCCAGGACAGCCAGCCCTACACAGGGGAACTCTGTCTCAAAAAAACAGCCACCACCACAAAACTACCCTGGAACTAGGTAGTTTATAACCATTGTCTTTTCTCCACTCATGATTCTGTAACAGGCAGAACTAGTTGGTGGTATTCACCCTCACTGTATGGGATTGGTTGGAGCAATCCAAGATGGCTGCCCCCACATCTGAGGTCTTAACTGCAAATGCTGTGGGGAGGTCCTTCCTTTCTAGTCTCTCATCATCACAGACCTCATTAGTGTAATTAGACTTTATAGGATTGCTTCCAGACCAGAAACAAGTTATAAGGCCTCTTGAGACTTCAGATTTTTTAAGATGAATTATTTATTTTATGTATAGGAGTACACTGTAGCTGTCTTCAGACACACCAGAAGAGGGCATCTGATTCCATTACAGATGGTTGTGAGCCACCATGTGGCTGCTGGGAATTGAACTTAGGACTTCTGGAAGAGCAATCAGTGCTCTTAACTGCTCAGCCATCTCTCCAGTCCAAGACTTCAGATTTTAAAAATAAAAATCATGCATACACACGCATACACATGCACACACACATGCACCTCTCGTGCACGCACTCACACACATGCGTGCATGCACACACACAGAGAGAGAGAGAGAGAGAGAGAGAGAGAGAGAGAGAGAGAGAGAGA